CCCCCCCACACACACACACACACACACACACACACACACACACACACACACACACGTATGATATCTGAGTACATATTCCACCTCTTGGCTGCAGGAGCTTGTTGGCACCTCATTGACTCTTCACTTGATTCCAATAAATATCAAATCCCCTGTTCCCAGAGCTGCCTTCAAAACAAAAGCATTAACAACTACTTTAATTGATAGAGCTATTTATAGAAGTATTTTGAGTTACAGTTTGATTTAGGAAATATATTGTTAAGATACTTTTCCTGTCTCTCTCCCCATCTTATTCCCGAACTCTTTCAAAATAAAAGCCCTATAAAGAAACTGTATTTCAACAGGAAGCTCAGAACAATGCTTTGTTTGTTCTTTTGTTTAAAGGAGTTTGTTTACCACAGCTTGCTTCGTCCTGGCCTGCCGGACAGTCCTTCTCTCCGTCACACCACTGAGACTCCCACACACAGCTGCCGTCTCCACAGCGCCTCCCGTGGGCGCAGGGCGACGAGACTGAGGGCCACAGGGCGAGGTTCATTCACAGAGAGGGCGTAGCAGCACATGATCTCAATCTTTATTTATTTATATAGCACACTTAAAGGTCACCTATTATTCAAAATCCACCTTTTCATGTCTTCTCTAGATCAACATGTGTCCCCTCTAAAGAGACTCTGAAAGTTTCACGAGAGAAAAAATACCCTCTCTTTTTGTCCTGATCCATTTATATAAAAACCTGTCTGAAAAGGAGCTGATCAGATTTTGGCCACTTCATGATGTCATAACGATGTTCTGGCTTGTGTAACCATTAGCCAATCACCAACCAAGGTAAACCCCGCCCCCCCACCTTATCACCTGAATCTCCTCCTAGAGCACCATTGTGTTCTTTTGAACCAAATATCTCTCAGAGGGGCGTGGGGAGGGGCTCCTTAGTTTCATCTAAAGTAACAGACAGAGAATCAGCACTTTGGAAACAGAGGGGATTATGGGTAATGCTGCAATGATCTGTTTGGTGTTTGGAGCCAAACACTTCAGAGAAATGTTTTTTATATATCTGAGGGCTATAATATATTGATGAAAAACAGTATGATAGCGGACCTTTAAAACAAGCTCAGTTGACCAAAGTGCTTTACAGGGAACAAATACAATATATAATAGGAGTAAGATAATAAAACAATAATTAAAAACACAATAACTAGAAACATATAGAAATGTCAAAATGTCATGGTCAACTAGTATTAAAAGCCAGTGCAAAGAGGTGAGTTTTTAGCAGAGATTTAAAAAGTTCAATAGACTTTTACACGAGTTATAACAGTGTGTATACACGATATTACTCACAGTAATAAGCCAGGAGGATCCCAGTGATCAGTGTGAGCAGCAGCAGGCAGATTACAGCGGCCACAGTGAACTTCACACACCTCTGTTTCACACCTGACAGGAGCACACACACACGCACACGCACACACAGTATACACACACACACACACACACACACACACACACACACACACACACACACACACACACACACACACACACACACACACACGGTGCATTTTAAACCAAGTTGATTTTACTGAATTATAAAAAAAACTAAATCTGTATTTTCCCTTTATATAAACAACTATGTGAATGCATCTTTGTAAAAAAGTGTGTCATATTTAGCAAAACACGTGTATTTTTTATTTAATTTTTTTATCAAATAATGTTAAGAGGATTTAATAAAAGCACTTTAGTCAACCAGGGTGATATACATTGGTATTAACATATAAAACATGTGTATTCTTCTGTATATTAAACCATTATATCGGGTATCTCTATGAAAGTACTGTTGTATGCCGTTGATAAGTCCTTTGTAAGAAGATGGCAGTCCTCATTATCACATTTTATTTTATTTCTAACATAAATAGTAATTTATTTTTTACTATTTCTTTATTCCGTTGATATTATAAAAGTCATATGAAAGCCACATTACAGAACAGGAGTCAGCCCTACCTTTGTGTTTGGAGCTGATCTCAGGCGGAGGCTTGGGGGCCAGATGATGAACGTACTGCGGCTGAACATCTGATCCATCGGCTGGAGGGAAGTTCCTCTCCACATCTTCACCAATAAAACAAGAACCAGAGTCCAGGTGCTGACAGAAAAACACATATGTGATGAGAGAAAGATCACAGGCAGTGTGAGAAAAATAAAGAGCTTTTTGAACATTAAAGCATGAACTCGTGTCACAGTAGAGACACTAATATGAACCTGAGAATGAGCAGAATAGGGCCTCTTTAAAAAAAATGTTTTTATCTTTAAATAGATTCATTTGAGCTGAATAAAAAGCCCTGAAGGTACATGTATCGGTATGTTTTTGCAGAATATTCGTAAACATTATCGTAGACATATAATAAGTTATTATACTGTAGTATGAATAAGACTTTCTTATGTGCATTTATATTAAGCTCTTTAAACTGATATGAATTAAATGAAAACTTACTGGACTGGTCGTCATCTTAATTATTTTTAACAAAATCTTCTAATGATTTATAAAAAGGCAGTAAATGCCGTGCAGCAGGAAAAATATCTTCCTGGGGAAATTGGATGTAGATAATCTGGGAAATCTAATTGAAGCTTGGAGAACGATGTATTTCAGATCTCTAGCCTCTCCTCTTGCTTTCCTCCTAACCTGCTTTGAGTTTTTACCCCATGGCGATAAACACAAAGAGTGTGTGTGATGTTCAGAGAGGCCACTCCTCACACTTCATGGTTTTGAAGTGTCCCTCCTGAGCACACACCGGACACAATGAGCAGCGCCCCTCGTCTCAACAGGTGTTATCTGATCAGCACGCAGTGGAAAGGTACTGCACTGCAGAGGAACACATTACCAGAGAAATGCAGAGAGGTACGATCTGTGAATAAACAGTTGGTTCAAATCACTTTTCAGATCCAATTGAAACCAAGAAAATACAATGAATTCTGTTTAATCATTTATTTAACTACACAGAGGTCATGTTAAAGGGTTGCAAGCTTTTTTTACACAACATGGACGTAATAAAAAGTATTATAAAGTTGCTTTTAAACATTTGAGATTTCTTACACATGTATATATAATTATGGATTTCACTAAATTAATAGTAAAAAGGAGCTGAACTAAATCCCAGCTGGATAAAGCATATCATACATTCACAAAGCATTTAGTCAAAGTAAAGTGATTTGTTAGGCACTGGCAAAACGTAATACTACAGTCAACAGTATGAAAACAATCACACCCCATGGGGTAAAAAATAATTCACCTTTAACATACTGTAAACTTCTTAGTCTTTGTGAATTCCCTCTAGATTTGGTCAGATTATCGGATTATTGCAGCATTTATGGTTTATTTTGATTTAAAGTGCAAAGCTAAGCAGAAATGTATTATTCTATAACAATGTGTGGCTCATCTGTCGAGTCCATTTTAGTTTGAAAAACAATAAAGAACTGCCTTTTGTAAAAAATGACCAAACCAAAAATATTGTGTGTAAAAGAGGATTAGGGCCACATGTGCATTTGTTTTTGAGTTGAGACCAAAGTTGCATTTTTTTTCTTCAGTTCTGAGAAAATATTCAGAATTGTGAGGAAAATATAAATTTCAGTTTTTTAATGAAAATTCCATAAATCTGAAAATTGATTTCTCTGACTTTTTTTCAGAGTTCAAGGTCAAAATGTCAGAATTCAGTTTTTAATATTAGAATGAAAGATCAAAAAAGAATGTCAATTCATTTCTCCTGACTTTCACAACAAAAAAAACAAAAAAAACATTTGGTCAGATTTGAAAAAGAAATTCACACGTGGCTCTAATCCTCTCCGTAGGTTTGGGGGGTTTCTGCCCAGTGCTGAGATTATGCCTTTAACAAAAAGATGCAGAGTGACACCAGCTGCAATCTAGACATTTCTAAATAGTTTGACTTCTTAAAAAGAGTTTCTTTGGCAGAAGCAGAGAAAGAAACTCATCATCAGAGCAGAAATACAAAATGTCCGTTCCCCCATCGTTCCTCTCCGTCTACACCCAGGCCTGCCAGCCGGAGAAGAGTCTGCTGAGGTTTTCGGGGTCCATGGCCTGTTGGATGAGCAGGTTGACCTGCCCCCTCACACTGAGCACCGTGCCCCCCTCCACCCCCTTCAGCTTCTCCTGCAGCCTCAGCAGCACCCGCTCCGCCACCTTGTTGTAGCTCTGACTGTCGCTGCAGGAGGGAGAGAGAGAGAAACCAAATAAAACATCACTGTAAGGGATCTCCATTTGGAATTCAAAATCTGCTCTCATCAGCTCTGAAATCAGACATTTTTAAATCACAGCTAAAAACACTTTTATTTTTTTTAGCTTTGGTCTTTTAGTATTTATTATTCGTATTCCTATTATTTCTATATTGTTCTATTCACCGGGACTTCCGGGAGTTGTCCATGTCCTCCCCCCCCATGGTGGAGCCGAGCGTGGCGTTGAGCTCCTGCTGCTCGTCGTGCTGCAGGTAGAACGCCTTCAGAGGGTTCATGGTCCAGTCGAACAGAGGGTCGTACAGCAGCACCTGAACAGCACATAGAGACAGAGGCAACGCTAAACATCAGAGAGGTGCAAGAGATCAGGAAGAGGGGATCCTGTCATCTTGATTGTTTGCTGAAAGGGGTTTCTATGGTGACGGGTTGATTAGGTACTGTCAAAGAAAACTGTGGTAAACAAGCTCCTGCAGCCTTTTACAACAAGAGGTTTATGTATGTGTGTGTGTGTGTGTGTGTGTGTGTGTGTGTGTGTGTGTGTGTGTGTGTGAGTGAGAGAGAGTGTGTGAGAGAGTGAGAGTGTGCGTGTGCGTGTATGTGTGTTTGAGAGAGAGAGTGTGTGTGTGTGTGTGTGTGTGTGTGTGTGTGAGAGAGAGAGAGAGTGTGTGAGAGAGAGAGAGAGAGAGAGAGAGAGAGTGTGTGTGTGTGTGTGAGAGAGAGAGAGTGTGTGAGAGAGTGAGAGTGTGTGTGTGTGCGTGTGTGTGTGCGTGTGCGTGTACGTGTGTTTGAGAGAGAGAGAGTGTGTGTGTGTGTGTGTGTGTGTGTGTGTGTGTGTGCCTGTGTTTGTGAGAGAGAGAGAGAGAGAGAGAGAGTGTGAGTGAGTGAGTGAGTGAGTGAGTGAGTGAGTGAGTGAGTGTGTGTGATCTTACCTCGACAATAGTAACCAGAGCTTCTTGAGAGTTCCTCATCACCTCCATAGTCTTCTCACAACATCTGAGAAAAATACAAGTAATGTCAAGTGAGTACTTTGTAGAAAATGTGTAATCTAGTTTGTAGTTAACTCTGTGACTAATGGGCCACAATGTGCAGCTTATAGGGACGACTACAATGGAAAGACACATGTATGAAAAGGAATGATTTCCCAGTGGTCTTGGTTTTTAAATATCTACAAACTGTCGTCCCCCTCACCTCCTGAAGACCCCCTCCACTCCGGTGATGCCCATCCCGTCCACGATGTCTCTGGACAGTCTGAAGGGGACGGTCTCGGGGGTGGGGAGGATCTTCCCCTGCTCGAATGCCACACCTGAACACCAAAAACAAAACAAAAAGGAAACAGAGACAGGGATGTGTTGAGGACATATTCTGCTCATTTTCAGGTTCATGTTAGTATGTAGTGTCTCTACTGTGACATGTCTTCATGCTTTAAAGTTCAAAAAGCTCTTTATTTGTCTCATACTGCCTGTGCTGCAGCACCTCTGTTCACCCTCTGTCTGAAACCAGAGCCCAGTCTGCTCTGATTGGTTAGCTGGCCGGCTCTTTTGTGATTTGTCAACCGCTTAGAGATGTCCCGCCCCTTAGCCTATCACGTACAATGTGTTGGAGTTCTAGCCAATAGAAGCGCAGGTCTTACAAAGTAATGTCATTATGTTCAGGAAGTAGACAAGGGAGTGTGTTAACAGCACCCCTTTAACACAGCCAGACCTTTGAAGTCAAGAGTAAGCTTACTTTGTTAAAATAAACAAAACTAAACAATGTTACCTAAATCGATGTGCACCAGTTCAGCCGTCTGCTCATCGACCAGGATGTTCTGGATGTGTCGGTCCCCCAGGCCCACGATGTAGCCGACTGAGGACAAAACATAAAGTTGGAAAAAATTCATTGTTTTACTTTAAAAATAGAGTTAAAAAAAATTAAGCTACTCAGCTTAACTTTTTTTGTATAGCAAAAAAAGCGAATATTTGAAATCAACAATTTATATCCCATTATTTTTGCGATCTATTGTGATGCCTGTAATTTGTTACATTTAAATGAAAAATAGCTGCGATAATATGTAACGTTTGTGATAACGTCTACCTATGGAAGAGGTGGCCACGCTGCGAGTGTACGCCAGACGTTTCTCCGTCCACACCGCGGGGTCCAGGAATCGCTCCATGCAGAAATACCTGAAGACCGGCCTGAAGCTGCGGCACACCTCGCTGAACGCCTGCAGCTTCTCGTCAAACGCCAGCTTCTGAGCCTCCTGCAGCGACAAATATTAACATCATCATGACCGTGTCCTATCCGGTCTCAAACATCATATGTTATACTGAATCTTAAAAATACTCTGTTGCAAATAAAAGTCCTGCTTTTTAAATTCCACCACTAAATTTTTTTATTTTTTTTTTACAATAAGGCTCTAGGTTGTTAGTTAGTTTCATAAGAATCTATGAGCAAATCAATTCAAATGCAAAGCCTGAAGAAGAGAGAAACCAATAAGCCCCTCAGTAATTGTGAATGACTGTGCTGAATAGACAGTATATGCTGCAGCAGTACATTCATCTTCCTGCGGCAGGCCAGGTTGGTGGCGTCCTGCGGTCTGAAGCGCTTGTGGGCTCCTTTACTGGCATCGATCAGAAACTGCCCGATCGGCACGGTGCCAGAACACCACTCCAAAACCCCGCTGCGCTGCGAGAACGGCACCACCTGGGAGAAAGGAGACAATATAAGTTGATGCAGATGAACACAGACAAGAAATCGGCACAAGAGACATGTTACACTGACTGGAGACCATCAGTAAGAACCACCACTACCTCCACCATAACTCCCACAATGCACTGGTTCTTTAGGTGAAAAATGAGGAAAGACATTTAGCCGAGTCATGCTCCAGTTTGTTGAAGTGTCACAGGAGTGAGATAGTGGACAGGGTCTCCACTGCAGGAACAGATAGTGCTGCAGTATGATAGCAGCAGTGCAGGAAGACTGTTGGACTTCATAATAATAATTCAGAATAATAATAAAGTAAAAAATCCAGTTTGTCATGCATTTCTTTATCCCCACACGTGGTTTTGTTTGATCTCCCCCAAAGAAACGGTTAAATGATGTGTGTGACCTTGTATCGTCGGATGTTGAGCTTCCTCTTGCGAGTGTCCGTGTTTCGCTGCAGCAGCATGGAGCACATGCTGAACACCTGCTGCATCACAGCGTCCTGCCGCAGGTCGTCCTGACCCTGTACCAGAGGGCAAAGGTCAGCCGAGAAAAAAAAAGTGACCCACAAAAGCACATTTAGAGCCTTCATTTTATCCAGTGTTCTAAAAATATATAAACAGGTTTGTATAATCATTTTCATTTTTATAGAAACATGTTCCTTTTCTGTCAAATAAACCTAAAAGACCTTAAATAATTCAAATACAATTTATTTTTATTTTTCCATAATGTTTATAATCTTTCCTCATAGTAAATACAAAAATAGTCTTCTCCCGCCAAATACTTTTTATTTTATCTTCATTTAAGCACAACAAAAATGTCTTATTCTTTCATTTTCTGTCCATTTTCTTACATTATAACTTGTTATCCATTTAAACATCGATAGATTATTGGGCTAAAAGTGAAACACCAGAAAACTGCTAATTCATCATGACCCTCCAAAGTGTCTTTAATGATTAGCCTTTAAGTAGCTGAGAAGTGTTTCTCCACACACACACACACACACACACACACACACACACACACACACAACCTGTGTGTTCCCGGCCGTGCGGGCCAGCCTGCAGAGCTCCATCAGGTGTTCAGTGAGCACAGAGCTGAGGTACTGGGAGCTGTCGGGGTCTCCCACCCTGCCTATCAGGGTCTGCTGGGCCACAGAGCGCACGGCCAGGATGGGCTCCACCAGAGAGAAGTCGCTGTCAGCGAGCAGCAGGGAGCTCTGCCGCCAGCGGCTGCACACCGCCCGCAGGGACACGTCTGAGAAGGGCCTGATGGGAAGGGGACAAATCAAACGAACAAACATATTAACTAGAAGTTGGTCTAGTTTGATACACTCCATATCTCCCAGACCTGATGATAGCATTTGAACAATTTCAAATGTTGTAAAGACAATACTTTAATCATGAGTTATTGTGGGCCATGATAATGGAAAGATCAGAAATTGTGAGACCCATTGACTGCTAAAATACCTGCTGAAGAGCTGCTTCACACTCTCCAGCTCCCTGATGCTCTGCAGGTTCCTGAGGGCCGGGTACAGAGAGGACACCGCCTCCAGACTGCCTCTGCACAGCTCCTCCACCTCCGCACCCCTGTGGAATTAAAGCATGGAAACACGTCACAGGAGAGGCACAAAATAATCATATGAACCTGAAAATTGCACAATACGTCCTCTTTTATAAGGATTGAAATGTCACAGTAGCTGTCCTACCTAGCCTGTTCCATAGTTTCATGAAAAAGGGAGAACTCTTTGTCCCTCAGTGCTTGCAGGGAACAGAACACAGATTCATGGTAGCCCAGTTTGGATTTCTCGCTCCTGAAATGAGATTTAAAAAATATGTAAAAAAGTGAGTATTAGGTAACTCTGATTCTCTGAGTTGTGTTGATGTGTTCCTCCTCCTCACCTCTCCGTCAGCTCACAGTCCCACTGAGTGTTCCTCCAGGCGGCCTGGAAGCGGAGCTCTCGCAGCTCGGCGCCCCACTCCAGCCCCTCGCTCTCCAGCCCCCTCATGTAGGTGGCGAGGATGCTGCTCAGACCAAAGTGCTGCAGGCCCTGTGGGTGCAGACATCACAACAGAAGACGCTGCATCACCCTGCATCAACATCGGACCTAATCTCATTTGTTCTTCATCATTTTACCTCCACAATTCCCACTTGTCGAGTGACCTCTGGCAGGGTGGAGTGAAGGTCGTATGAATTCAGGGCCTTACCCCACATCGCCTCGTGCTCATAGGTTCGAATCCTAAACATTAAGCGATCACACCTTAGTTGTAAAGCACCTTTCACACATTTTAAGATATTAGTGAAGTTTAAAGTGGACCTATCATGCTATATTTTAAACATATATTGTAGGGCCATACCTATATAAAACATGTCTGTGTTTTTTTTTTCTTCTAAATATCAAACAGATCATACATTTTAGCCATGCCTCATTTGCTCTTTTCCAGCCCTGTTTTTACAAGGGCTGATTCTGCAGCGCCACTTACAGGCCTGGCATATGTACTACAGCGTCTCCAGCGCTTTCGAGCGGTCTCTCATTCCCCTGATGGGTGGAGAGTTGCCCATAGGCGGAGCTCCTTGTTTCTGACGTCAGAGATATTTCAAATCTGTATCAGTCTGTATCAGATCCGTTGCAGCCCCGTTTTTAGAGATTTGGGTATGGAGGAAAATAGAGAGGGTTGTGTTTTCTGACACTTGGTGAGTTCCCTGACATACCGGGGACACATATTCATGTATAAAAGACGTACAAAAGTGCATTTTGCATGATAGGTCCCCTTTAAGTTGCTTCACAGATACTGATAAGAAAATAAGAAAGAATAATATGGACCTTGAACAAATAAATAAATACAAATATTGGAAGAAAAAATAAATAGAAACGAAACAGCATGAAATTAGAACTAGGGATAGAAGCTAATATACAATTATAGTTACAATAACATAATTGGTTGATAACATAACAATAATATTCAACAACTTAAATTCAATAAAATAGGTGATAAATAAAAAAACTATAAAATAGAAAAAATAATTACAACTTAAATACAGAAATATTATATTAATGTGTTTTTGATGTATAGTTGGTTAATACTGATCACCTGGTAGTATAGCACCTTTTACACATTTTAATATATTAGTGCAGTTTAAGTTGCTTCAGAGATACTGATAAGAAAGAATAATATGGACTTTTAATAAATAGATAAATAAAAATATGTTTAAAAATAAATAGCAGGGGAACAGCATGAAATAAAAACAAGTGATGGGAGATAAGAAAGAATGATAGTTACAAATTAAATTATTATTATTTTTCATTTGTTTAATGAAAAACGTAAAGAGTAAAAAATAGGATTTTGTAAATGAACAGTTGGTTATCACTGATCACCTGGTCAGGGGACTGGTCAGCGTCTCCCCCCCACAGCCGTACAGACTGTCAGGCTCCCCGATGCTGCGATACACCTCGATCAGCAGCTCCTGCAGAAACAGACGAGAATGACCTAATTAAATATGTTACTGCCATTCGTATGTGGTTCCTAAATTAAAAACATGGTTACAAGTGTCCAACGATAAACCTTTATACCCCTGTACATAAGAATATTGCGTGTTTAGCTAACAAGTTGTGAACTCGGTGGTCATTACACTGGACTTACATAAGGAAATTAATCTTTTTAACTTGATCAAACATTTGAATTAGCAACAGCTTTGATTTGTGACCTGCAGGCTAATGTTCGTGTCCTCCATGCTCTTCTCCGTCAGGCTGGAGATGGTGAAGCTCTGGCTGTTCTCCTCTAAATTTATCCTACGGGAAGCTCTGGCCTTGGTTCTGCAGAATTATGGAGGAAAAGTACAATGTATATTTAAACATTTAATGTGTATGGAAAATTAAATGTCACTCTTGTGAATTAACCAGTTAAAAAATAATTAAACTACTTATTTTTCATGAAAAGTTTAATGCATTTACCCATTTTAATTATGACAATTAACTAGATAAATAATACAATTCTTTAAGATGTGCAAAGTCTTAATGGCACACATAATAAAATATGCTTTAAAATCCCACGTTAATAAATGATCCCTTCTTGCATACCTCCGACCCTCCTCCATGTTAGCTTTGATCTTGTCCACGTAGATCTCGGAGTACAGCAGAGCGGTGAAGTGAGCCGAACAGGACTGAGCCGCTTTGGCCACCTCCAGGTAGTTCAGCTCCAGCCAGAAGTTGGAGTCACACACCGTGCTGCAGGACTTACTGGAAGAGGGCAACAGCCTTTATTACACACACACTCCACACACAGCATGAGCTAGGATCAAGATCAGTCAGTAAACATTTATTAATAATGAAACAAAAATGTGCAAACCTATCCGCCTCCAGTGATCTCTGTTGGTGTCTCAGATAGTCGATGACAGCCAGCATGGTACGCAGAGAGGTCTTATCGTACAAGCCCTGACTGGCAGCGTCGGACTCTGAAAATAATAATAAAACATAGAATGTGAGTAAATAAAGAGAGAGAAATTATTATTATTATTATTATTCTTCAGGGCCCGAGTCCACATTCTTTTTCTGGCAAAAAGGCGCTGCATTGACTGCGTTCTATGTAAATGAGCTGTGCGGTTGCCCTGGTGCCCTTGGCAACTCATCTCCTGGCCTGCCCCGAAGGTTGTGATTGTGAGCATGCCGGGCCCGACACGCTCCAATCCCAGCGCACACCTTCCGGAGACGACTACAAAGCCTGTGGACAACTATCAGTCGGGAGGCTCTGGATGTGTGACCTGACGCCTCTCGCTACTTACTCTTGACTTGTAGACAAATCTGTTAACAGTGCTTAACTCGTGTGGTCCTTATTAGTGTGGTTATTATTATTGGTGTCTAGATTAGCTTCAACCCGTGTATTACGCTGACTGTTGTCCTCTAGTCCTCCCCCCCATAGCTGTGTTTTCCTACATCCTCCTTTTTGTTAGTTTGTGCCACTTTGATAGTGAGGGTTGTTTTGCTGCTATTTATTTGCTAGTATCTATTTCTTTGTACTTAATTAGGCTATTAATGAGTCCTCCCTTTGATGGTTGCTTAGTTAAACCTGCGCCCTTTTGGGCCCCTTTGTTTGCTCCAGGCTGCTTGCCTTCCATTTTTGTAATATTGTTATTCAATAAACTTCTTGTAATAATTACCAATTCCAACTGGTGTATGTTGCTTTCCCTTTTCCCCTAGTTGGGACGTAACACTGCGTGTGACAGCTTACGCTCTGTCCTCATTGGAATCAATTTAAAAAATATTCTGGCGATCAGAAAAAGGGGCTGTGTGGATATGTGGTCCCCTATACTCTCAGTCTTACCAGAGTCAGAGTTGAGAGGTGTTGCGGTGCGGCTGGAGGCCTGAGCGCTTCTGGAACAAAAGCTGAAGAAGTCCTGAATGTGAGAGGAGAGCAGCTGCCTCCAGGAGCCGTTCACATCGTCCATCAGGACGGAGTGGATGATGAGCGGCAGCAGCCTCTGACAGCAGTCCACCCTCACCTGGAGACACAGGCAGGAAGTAAACGCAGGGATTTTAGCCGTTGCAGACCTTTTTTCACGCAAACAAATCTAGATAACACAATAGAGGAAACAGGAAAACCCCAAAAAGCAGAATAGGGCCTCTTTAAACGCCTGAGTGCTCACCAGACATAGCGGTCGGGTCAGCAGCAGAGCTTCACTCCTGACCCCCCCGCTGTCCAGCAGGGCGGTGCACAGAGCCTTCAGCCAGGCCTTGTGTCCGCCCGCCCGGGGGATCCAGAAGTCCTGACTCTCCAGCTTCTGCCTCGCCCCCAAACTCTCCTCCTCACTCACAGCTGCACCCTGAGGAGGGACCACAGACACACAGATGTTACATGGGCATACAGAAAAACACACTAACACATATTTGTATTTCAATGCTTTGTGTTTGTAAAACAGTTTTTTATTTAGAAAATGGGTCTAAAACATGTAAGGTTTGATTTACATATTTGTTATTGGTATAGATATGATAGATATGACACAAAAAGCTGGTAAACCCACCGTCTTCTTGGCCTTTCTGAAGGGGTTGAGGTAGGTAAGCATGGGGTCTCTGTTGTCTTTGTGTTGCGCCCAGAAGTCGACTCCGGACTGAGTTGCGAGGATGTTCTTCAAACACTGACCAGCTGCTTTCCTCACCTCAATACTGGCACACACACACACAGCACAGGAAAGTGTTATTAATCTCCTATAGTAAAAATAAACCAATACGTAGTCAGATTTTGGATTTCTGAGATCTAGAAATTGGCATACCGCTGTTGTGTGAGTGCATCGTTCATGCAGTTGAGGATGATGTAAAGACACTGGGACTCAGTGGAGATGAAGAGAGAAACAGCTTTCTCATAGAGGGGGTCTCTGCCGTGCAGCAGGGCGATGGTGGAGAAATCTACCGGACCCAGCTCTCCCAGACAGCTGCCCGCCGCCTCTGCAGAGACGAGGTTAACGCAGATTAATCACGTTACAAAGTTTGACGAGCGCAGATGTTTACCATGAATACCAGTGAAAGGCAAAGAAAGCGAGAGACATGTGTTACACTGACTGGAGACCACTGGACATCAGTAAACACCAAGAACCAACCAACCTGATTTCTCTTAGCAGTTTGCCATGCATTCCTTTATTACAACACTCCCCAAAAGTAAATACTACTGGACTGTATACTGGAAAATTCAACACCCTATATATTAAGACCCTCCCAAAGCAGAAGGAAAAACCAGAGAGAAACCCCACGATTAATGGGATACACTGATATTTATTTCATACCCAGAATGTCAGCTCCTCCGGGGTGGTTAACAGCGAGCTTACAGAGCTGCAGCAGACTGAGGACCAGCTTCACCAGCATACTGTCAGAGGGCTCGGCTACAGGGGAGATGAGACATTTAGAACAATCTCACAGGACACCTAACATGCCACAACTATTTATGCATTTTCCTTCATCTGGCTTGGTACCTTGGCACTCTTTGAGCAGCTCTCTGATCTGGTCCTTGTTGTCGTGCAGCTGCCGGGTCAGCTCCTTCAGACCCTCCAGTCGGGTCAGAGGTAAGGAGTCACATGACGTCACAGAGAGGAAGTGGGCTATCTCCTGAGGATATAGGTGAGCAATGAGATTTAGGATTTTGCTTTATCATTGATAACTCACTGACATTTCTACCAGTGACGTGCGGTCAAGGGAGGCACCTAAATATAGCTGTTACAAAAAGTAAAAAAAGAAAACACAATTAAATAAATATTTGATGCACGATTCTAATAATTTAAAGGTCAAAATCGATCCAGAAGGTCCACTGCAAACACAGAGGGCATAAAAAGCCAAATCCAGAGTTATTTTCTCTCTCCATTCATTAGACTGAGCCTAGAGCGTGGGATCAGAGGCGGGGCTTAGGCAAAACTCAAGTGTGCATCGAATCCATACAGGCACTTTTGACATTTTTAGGGCATTACCTCTCTCAGTGTGAAGGTCCCAGTGTTGTATTTGAGCTTGTGCTGCACAGACCGCAGCTCTCTGAACTCAGGGAGGTCCGGGAAAGGCTCCAACTGGCTGATGGCTCCTTTCAACTTCTGCTGATTGTCTATCACCAGGAACTGCAACAGGCTGAGCACCTGGAGGAGAGACGAGCGACAGTGAGTGGCACGTAAATGCTGAGGGATTGTTTTTTACTCTTAAGCAGGGGTAAATGTCTACCAGATTCTATAGGTCCTGGAAACCTCTATCAAATAATCCAACCTTCTGTCTGGATGCAAAAGTCAAAAATATTTTGTTTTCTTGAGGTTTCAAAAGGAATATTTTGAGCTTCTCAATTGGTTGTTTTGTCAACTCCATAACAAACCAGCAAGTGGCATTTTAAGGTAATGCAAGCCTTCTTACGCATAACGATGTTGCATTCGTCTGCACGTATACTTGCAATTCATTCATTTCAAAGTGATAATTCCGTATAATATCTTGGATAATATCGCAGTTGCCATATCAACCAAGTCAAAATATTCACAATGAGTTCCATATTGTGCTCATTATCAGGTTCATATGTTAGCAGAAGCTTTTGAGTAGACTTCGCTGTATCTTACCTGCTGCGTGACGGCGGGCCGGCTGGTCACCTGAGCGGTGAGCGTCCCGACGATGACCTGCAGGTGGCAGTCCAGAGCGTCGTCACAGAACTGCAGCGCGGCGCGACACACAGAGGTCAAGAGGTCGCAGCACAGAGAGAGGCTGCGGGTTGAAACCTCGTCACACTGAAGCACTCTGAGGACGAGAGGAACATCACAGTGAGCAGTGTGGGTGTAAACAACAACACAACAGTAAACACTATAAAATGCACTGATGTGTAAAAAGACTTATGCAATCAGAAATACTTTATTTATTGTGGGGGGAAATTGGGTTTTCTTGAAAGTTGCGCCATTTTAGAATTAAATAAATTATTACAAGAAAGAATGTGCAATAAAAAAGATCAAATAAGATATATAAATCATACATTTTTTTATTAAAACATAACAAATTAAAGTGGACCTATCATGCTATATTTGAATAATATAGTGTAGCACCATACCTATATAAGGCATATTTATACTTTTTATTTTTCAAAATACCAAACAAATCATGCATTTTAGCCATTCCTCATTTCGCTCAATTTAACACTGTCTTTGCATCATGGGCTGATTCTGTGAGAACAGCACCATCTACAGGCCTGGCATATGTACTACAGCGTCTCCAGCGCTTTCGAACGGCAATGTCCGTGGCTGTCTCCTCCTGATTGGTGGAGTTGGCCCAATAGCCGTAGCGCCACTTCTGTGACGCAATAGAAGTGTTCAAATCTGGATCAGTCTGTATCAGATCCGTTGCAGCCCCTTTTTTAGAGATTTGGGTATGGAGGAAAAGAGAGGGTTGTGTTTTCTGACACTTGGTGAGTTCCCTGGAACACCGGGGACACATGTTCATGTATAAAAGACGTACAAAAGTGCATTTTGCATGATAGGTCACCTTTAACCTAAATTGTCCATTAAAAGACACAATAAAAAATGGTCTTTATCTACGCTGTATTTTTTCTTTTTGCTTCCCCCCTCTGTGGGATGAAGAAAGGATTTCTGATGCCTATTCTCACCTCCTGCGTCTGTTACCTGTGTGTGTGTGTGTGTGTGTGTGTGTGTGTGTGTGTGTGTGTGTGTGTGTGT